AGGGAGTAGCTGTGCAGGAGCTTCGTTAAAAGAGGTGTTGCGTGTTGCTGGCCTCCAGGTTGAATACCTCTACACGAATCGAAATCGAATCGAAAAATGCTAGTGACAGGGGGGAAGGAGGTTCAGGGGAAGAATAAAGGGAGGATTGAAGTGAATTTTAGGAGGAGAGAACAGATGCAGTGGCTAAACACCGCTTGCGTGAGGGATTGTAAGATGGAGGCAGCAGCAGCAACCCGCCTGGACGCGGCAGGGAGGCGACAAGACAAAGCCAGGCTAGCGTCAGGTCAAGCGTCAGGTGCGTGTTGGGTTGGGCAATGGATGTTCAGTGCTTGGTCGGCTTGATTGTGTTTTGGTTTCTTGTGTGGAGGAGATGTCTTGGTCTTCTTAGCTTGATGTCGATTTTCTTCTCACTCTCCTCCTCTTCTTGCTCTCTTGAAGTGTCCATTCGTTTGTGTTTGGGTCTTGTTGTTCGTCTTCCTCGTGTATTAAGTCCTCATAGGTGTGGAAGAAGTCAGAGACGGTGAGGTTGACCACGTGGGCTTCAGCTCCACGGGCCACGTGGTGTTCTTGGTTCTGTGTGGTGGGCGTCTTCTCTTGAGTTTTCTTTTCTTGGTTTTTCTTTTCTGCTGGTTTTTTCTTTTCTTGGGAGCGTACAGCAAGGAGGGCCTCTTTGTAGCTCAGTTTTTTCTCAAGACGAGCCTTGGCTACCCTGCATTCCTCCTTCCATCTGGGGCAGGTCCGGTCGGCGGAGGAGTGTGGGCCACCACAGGCAGCGCATTTTTTCTCTTTGTTGGGGCAGACCGTGTAGCGGTGTCCAGGGCTGCCACACATGGAGCAGGTGTCTTCCTGCGCCTCACACTTGTTTACAGTGTGTCCATAGTGCTGGCATTTGTAACACCGTTTCGGTCTGCAGTAGGGCTTGACTGGCACAGTTACCCACGCCAGTTGAGCTTCCTTGGGTAGGGTGGAGTGGTGTCCGATGAGGGCAGTGGTGTTGGACAGCTTCTTCACAACTTGGAGCTGCTGCTCCTTGAGGAGCTCACTCAGCTCTGCTTTGTCCATGTGGGCAATTTCGGCGTGGGAGATTACACCCAGCTTCAAGTTGTCCCACATGTAGGCAATCATTTTAAAAGGAATGCCGTTGATGTCTGGGATCTCCGCGAGCTGTGCGGGCATGCCCTTCTCGACGAAGGTGATCTTGATGTCACCATGGAGCTTTAGACGTTCCACCTTGGTGACCCCCACGATCCCATTAGCTTCAAAAAATTTCTGGAGAACTAGGAGGTTTAGTTTCTTGGGGCAGGTCGGCGTATCCGGACGTATCCGCGCCACGTTATCAAACTCGTAACCGTTCATGGTGAGAGAGGGTTAGAGAGTGACTGTGTGTTGCCTCTACACGGCGAGAATGGGAGCTTATATACACGGAAGTACAAGTTGCCGGTGTCGACCCATGTCTAGACGCGTCAGAGAAACTTGGCGCGACTCTAGGCGACTAGGCTTTGGCAGAACTCCGTTGCTATGGGATGCGGCTAGGCTGTTGTAGGGGAGAGTATCCACTACAGTGTTCCTGCCTTCGGAGCTTCGGTTTATCAACAAAAACCCACCCGAATTGTGATCGATTTTTGCTTGGTTTGTGTTTGCTTTCCAGTCCGGTCGACATCACAGACGTTCAAAAAAAAAGAAAGAAAGTTGGAATTTGGGAGATAGAAGTAACCAACTGTTGTGACGATTCATCAGCGTTCAATAACAGAGGATGAAAGAGTGTTAAACTGTTCTTTTTTACTGTCGTGGAAGGACCCTCAAATCGAAGTTCACTAATAAGCTGTTTTAGCCCAGGAGCATTAACTTGTGACCTGAATAAAAATCGCATCAAGCTGATTTTTTTCAAGTCACTTTTATTATACATCATATCACCTACTAAAAGTCATCAAATATCATCACTGTGTTTATCTCAAAATTAAAGATGGCCGCCACGAGAGAGACTAATGAGGAAAATCCCCTATAACTTTAGAACCGGGTGGCCTAGGATGATGATATTGGTGTCTAGGTGTAGATTTTGGAGGTTAAAGTAAATCAACTCTTCTCAATAAGGGGAGGGATGAATTATGACAATTCTTAAGTCACTGTATTTATTGAACGCTTTCTATTAGGATTTGATAATTACACTTCAAAACCATGAACCTATTCTCCTAGCTACGTATCTCACAACAACTGGGAACTTAAGGATTTACCAAATAGATCACACCCAAATACCTGGCATGTCACCACCACAGACGTCCCACACCTCGACACAAAATTCCAACACACGTTTGAAAATAGAGTACCTTCTTGCTGGGCACGAACTCTAGCTTCCAGCCAATCAGCAGTTATCCCTGTCGTGTAGGGAGTTATAGAGGGTAATCATTGTTTAAGCTGAAATTCTCATACGTATTTCCTCTAAACATGGCATATCTTACTCTAAAATCCTGGATTTGTTGCAGCTACACCCTCTCGTATTATTCGTGAAGTGACTGTTTGCATGTGTAGGCAAAGCGCTTTTTTTTTTTTGCGTGTGTGTATGTTGAGTTGAAAAGGAGGATGTCTGGGTTGTGTTCCTTTACTTGAGTGTTTCTTAATTGAGTTCTAATTGCGTCTTCAGATTGGCCAGAACCGATCGGGATCTGTTCAGGGATGTGGGTGTTTGTGCAAGGGATGTGCTTGTAGGTGGACGTGGAGGTGGTGGGAGATGGGCTGAGGTTAGAGATCTTGTCGGGCGATTTCAAGTAATGTGGTGATGTATTTTGATTGCTATTATGTGTCACTTCTTGTCGGGAGTAGTGAAGACGAGGTTTGTTTTCTCTTCCTTGGGTTGCTGGGTGTAGCTATTGTGGTTTAGGGTGTCTGGGTGTTGGTGGTGGCGGGTGACTGGGTGAGGTCGGGTGTGGATGCGGCAGTGTTGGAGGAGGAGGCTGTGGGTTTCTATGTGCTCTGATGTACCAATGCATGTATAATATATAATAGATGGCGTTCATCTTCTGTATTTTGGCCAGATGCTGAAACCTGTCAGGATATGAAGGTGCAAATGTTGCGTTTGGTGGCTATGAAAACCCATTATCAACTAAATCAGCGGAGCAGAAGCGTCACGCTTTGAAATCTTCATCACCAGATATCACATAACAACGCAGAAGCACTTTTTGGCGAATCACACCAATAAGTCTAGGCTTATCTTGCACCTCAGAACCAAGTTTATAACTGCTGGTGTGAAGGTGGAGCAGGCCACTGCAGACTACCTGATGATATCTATTGTCCTCATCCATGCAGATACTACAGGGACGCCTATACTTAGAACATTAGAAACTAAGGAGTTTGCAATAGGCCGGTTGGCCTGTGCACTTACTACAAAGTTGCTAAGCTTGTTCCACTCGCCCACCACCCTATTTGTAAACCAATTTCTTCTTATCTCCCTCCTGAACCTAAACTTATCCAACTTAAATCCGTTGCTACGAGTCCTATGCTGCTCGGATATTATAAGAACTTTGTCTATATCTCCATTATTGATTCCTTTCACCCACTTAAGTACTTCTATCATATCTCCCAGCACTCTTCGTCTTTCTAGGGAATGCAAGTTTAGTTTCTTTAACCTATCCTGGTATGGAAGGTTTCTAAGTCCCGGAATCATTTTCGTCATTCTTCGCTGCACCGACTCCAGTGAATTGAAATCCATTCTATAATAAGGGCACCAGAACTGGACAGCATAATCGAGGTACGGCCTGACTAGCGCAAGATATAGTTGCAATAAGACCTCTGTATTCTTATTATTTACACTTCTAGATATAAAACCCAATACTCTGTTTGCCTTATTTCGAACATTAACGCACTGTTTTCTAGGCCGTAGGTCCGGGCTTACAAGTACCCCTAAGTCTCTTTCACAAGTCGACTTCTCTAGGTTGATGTTGTTAAGGCTGTATACATTGACAGTATTTGTTCTTCCAATATTAAGTACACTGCACTTGCTGGTGTTGAATATCATTTGCCATTTTTCTGACCACTCCTGCAGTATATTTAAATCCTCTTGTTAGGTTAGGTTGGGTTAGTCAAAAATGGATATCGCTACCCACACATGCCCACTGAAACTTCCCCAGTAATACAACATTGCAGGTATATGAAATGAATATTCTGGATTCACTCACGGCTTAAGGATCTGTTTCAAATATGTAGGACAATGTATAAATAATTACTGCTATTATATCCAAAGGTTGGTATAAAGTTTCCAAAGTTTTTACGTTACAAATTTAGAGAAAAAATTAAGATAAAGTGTGTAATTAGTTTGCATCAATCTCATCCATTCTCTCAAAGGCCGTTCAAAGTTTTCCTAAGAAGTGTAAATGCAGTAGATCATACGTTAACCGAAAGTCCGTGTGGATAGTGTGGGTGGCCTGGGTGGTGTGGATAGTGTTGTGGGTGGCTTGGATGGTGTGGATAGTGTTGTGGGTGGCCTGGGTGGTGTGGATAGTGTTGTGGGTGGCCTGGATGGTGTGGATAGTGTGGGCGGCCTGGGTGGTGTGGGCGGCCTGGGTGATGTGGGTAGTGTGAATGGTGGTGTAGGTTGTGTGGGTAGCGATATCCATTTTTTTACTAACCTAACATAACCTAACCTAACCACACATCATTTATTTCAGTTAACAAGAGTATTACTTCATTACGTTTCACCTCATAACTCTTCATCAGTGTTCAGAAGTCTAGACACTTGACACTGAACTTTTACCTCAGCCTTCAGTAGTACCATACACGATAGCTACCCACAGCCGCTATGTTAGAGACTTAGATTTAAACAAACATCCCAATTTTCTTTAAATATCATTATATCAACGTCAGGAGTGTCTGTGAACAAGCTGCAGACGGACACAGAAACAAAGACTAGTCTAAAACCTGTTGAGCTGTACGGTAAATGAATAATGTAACTGTGTAATAATTCCACCTCGATTATTAATTTACTATACCTCCATTAATCACCTTAACAGAGGCACCATGGCTGCGGCCACTACCTACGGGTCAACGATGACAAGTGACGAACTTGGCCACTCGTCCTCCCAGGTGCCACGACTGAGGTCTACAGCAGGAAGCCCATCAGCACCTTCCGGTGACTCTGGCAGTAAAAGACAGTCTGGACAAACTTCAACAGTAACGAATTACCTCTCCGCAGATTCCAATAACGCTGATCAATGTACAGACACAGGCGTACAGCTGAAGAAGGTCTTGGGGCTCGGGCACGGAGTGGGCTTGATCGTGGGCATAATTATCGGAGCTGGCATCTTCGTGTCCCCTACGATGGTGGTGCAGTATACTGGCAGCGTGGGTATGTCGCTGACAGTGTGGGTGGCCACGGGCATCATGTCCATGATGGGCGCCTTCAGCTATGCTGAGCTCGGTCAGTATTACGGTACTAATGTTGCTTCTCATATCAAGAAGCAACATGCTGACCATTACACCACAGATCGCCACAATTAGACCAACAATTATGTGATTTATTTATCAATGGTTAAGATTTAGTGATGGAATTGTTCCTTCTACTTACTATTTAATCTTGCCGGAACGTTTTAAAACTGCTTGGTTCAACAGGCACAATGATCCCGAAGAACGGTGGTAACTACATATACGTGCTGGAGATGTTTGGACCCGTGCCAGCGTTCCTCGTACTATGGATCACTAACATCATGACAGAGCCCAGCGGCTCCGCCATCGTCGCCCTCACCTTCGCCAATTATGCCTTACAGCCTCTCTTCCCGAGCTGCTCACCGCCATATTTTGCCACCAGACTCGTAGCTGCGGCTTTGATTTGTAAGTGTGAGAAATTATGTTGTTAAAAGTTTTGGTTGTTTAGTAAATACACATAATATACATATAAAACCTGACCTGCCAGTAGTAGAGTGGATGGGCACAGGCAGTAGTGAGGTAGGTCATAAAGGGACACATATCATCACAGGTACTAGACGTGTATACTCTTGAAACTTGTGTCACTGACTAGACAAACAGTCCTCATTTCTCGCTCCCTGGCAATTTCTAATACACAAAACTACATCTTAATAATAATTATTAAAATATTTATGTTTCAGTTCATGTGTGCCCTTCAGATTTTAATGGTCGATGATGTATATATCAACAGGTATAATGGCGTATATAAACTGCCTCGGGGTAAAGTTAGGTGCCAGAATTCAGGGCGTCTTAACCCAGACGAAAGTGTTGGCGCTGATCGTCATCATCGTGGCCGGAGTACACCACCTGGCTATTGGTAACACCGACCACTTCCGCAACCCCATGGAAGGAACCATCTGGGACGTGTATTCCATCGCCACCGCCTTCTACTACACCCTCTTCACTTACGGTGGATGGTCAGTACTGTATATATGTTGGACCGTAAATCTTGTAAACCAATCCCCGGTGCAGCTCTACAGTTCATCTCTCATCAACGGTACATTTTATGACAATATATTTTTTCCATCATGCAGGTTTCATATCAGTACTGGTTACCCCGCCGACAGCTTACCACAAGATTACCAAAAGCACGATAACCACAAATCTGCTTCCACGTTTTTTTTCCGAGAATGATGAGATATAAACCTGAACAAGAAAGAGAGAGAGAGAAAATAGATGAAAAATTAGACAAGATAGAGAGAAAAAAACAACAAATGAATAACGTTTATCCCGCTGTTTGTGCTGACTCAAAGGGTATTATTGTTACTGTTGTTGTTAAAATCATGGTTCCCTGTTAGTACTGACTTCATTAGATCAAAGACAATACAGTATAAAATAGCTAGCCGAGATGTATGCCGGGAATTACACCACTTTTTGATATACCAATAGAAACCGACTCGATGTGATGAAGGTAATCTCACCCCGCCTTACCTTCTACGCTGCCTCCAGAACACATTCCTCGTGAGGTCGAGTGCAGTACCGGCCATGCTGCCTATGGGACCCCCATTTACTTTACACATTCACTACTGACAATAATACTAAGGGGGAAGTTCTCTGTATATCAAGTGATAAAAAAATTATCTTATAAATGTTTTAAAGAACAGTTTAACTCGCAGGTTTCACTCGAGCGTTTCCGCGGTACACTGTAATAGTTTCGAGACAGCCTTATACAGAAAACCAACTTTCACTGGTTTGAGTTCAAAATTGTCATCTTTTATTCCTCTTAATTACAAACGTAATCTAGTACGTACTCTTACCAACAGAGCCTTCAATATATGTTCTAGCTATTTCCACTTGGATATTGAACTAAAATACATAAAGGAACTACTCTTTAACAATGGTTTCCCTAAGAGATTTTCAGACACTTATATTGGCAAAACGCTTAATAGGTTTTTTAGTCCCACACAGCCTCAAATTTACACTGTCCCTAAATATTCTATCTATTTCACCATCCCGTATACAGGCCCACTCAGTTTCACCCTTAGAAATAAACTTAAGAAGCTTTTCATTGAATTCTATCCACAAATTTCTCTTAGACTAATCTTTAAAACCCAGAGTTCAATTAAGAAATTCTTTAAAATTAAAGACACTATACCCACACACCTGCAATCCTCAGTTGTTTATCAATTTACGTGTGCTAGCTGTAGGGCAGCATATATAGGTAAAACTAAAAGACATTTGATAACTCGCATCCATGAACACTTGGGCCGTTCCGTTCGAACAGGCCATTTAATAACACAACCACCACATTCAGCTATTCGTAACCACGCCCACCAACATGACCACCCGTTTTCGCCGTCTGATTTCTCAGTTCTTGGCAGGAGCGACTGTGATACAGACCTCCTCATTATGGAGGCATTACACCAGTATAAAAAAAAGCCATCGCTTTGTGATATGGCCTCTAGTGAATTGTTATGTTTTTCACATTAAGGCTCGTCTGAATTAAGGTAATCCCCCCCGGTACATTCATACTTTTTTATTTCATGATTTTAGCTTTGTATGTAGGTCTCTCGTCTTTTTTGTCGGTTTTGAAGTGGATTGCACTTTTTTTAAGTTTTTGAAGTTTATCTTAGGTAAATTTTCGTATAATATTATGTGTTTATTGTATATCACCTGTATTTTTAAACTTTTTCAAAACTTTTTAGGCTCTGATGATGGAAAAGGATTATTTCCGAAATGTTAGCAATTAAAAGAAGCCCTACTTCAAGATGTTTGTGTTTACCCTGGTTCTCCTCTTCGTTATAAAACTACGCTTTCCACGTAACAAGTCCATTGCTGATGTTGTATTGTTTTCGTTGCAGGCACACACTCAACTCCGTGACGGAGGAGCTGAAGGAACCAAACAAGTACGTAAATCAGTGTAGGTGTAGGATATCACTATTGTAGGACTTGGCGCTACTCCAAGAAGATTCTCGGAGATGGTAGACTAACTTGTGTACACTGAAGGGCTACGAGTCTAATTCAAGTGTTTTTGTTCAGGTAACCCTTTAAAGACTCTCATGTTTTAATACTGTTTTTAGTGGACGAAGATAAGCGTTAACCTCCTAGAACACAGCATCTAAGAAAGGTTTTGTTTTTGTTTTTCCACAAGATTAAATTCCCAACAAACACTTTCCAGGAACCTGCCACGAGCCATAGCCATCTCCCTCACCCTAGTGACTCTGATATACGTGCTGACCAACGTCGCCTACTTCGCTGTATTGACACCTGCTGAGATGCTGTCTTCCAGTGCTGTGGCTGTGGTGGGTAGTTGTTCTGTCCTCTGGTGCTGGGCTGTGGTGGATAGTTGTTCTGTCCTCTGTGGCTGTGGTGGGTAGTTGTTCTGTCCTCTGTGGCTGTGGTGGGTAGTTGTTCTGTCCTCTGGTGCTGGGCTGTGCTGGGTAGTTGTTCTGTCCTCTGGTGCTGGGCTGTGGTGGGTAGTTGTCCTCTGTGGCTGTGGTGGTTAGTTGTGATGTCCTTTGTGGCTGTGGTGGGTAGTTGTTCTGTCTTCTGGTGCTGTTGTTGTGGTGGGTAGTTCTGTCCTCTTGTACTGTGGTAGGTAGTTGTTCTGTCCTCTGGTGCTGGGCTGTGGTGGGTAATTGCTCTGTCCTCTGGTGCTGTAGCTGTGGTGGGTAGTTGTGCTGTCCCCTGGCACTGTGGTGGGTAGTTGTTCTGTGCTCTGGTGCTGTAGCTGTGGTGGGGAGTTGTGCTGTCCTCTGGTGCTGGGCTGTGGTGGGTATCTGTTCTGTCCTCTGGTACTGTGGTGGGTAGTTGTTCTGTCCTCTGGTGCTGAGCTGTGGTGGGTAGTTGTCCTATCCTTTGGTACTGTGGTGGGTAGTTGTTCTGTCCTCTGGTGCTGTGGTGGGTAGTTGTTCTGTACTCTGGTACTGTGGTGGGTACTGTTCTGTCCTCTGGTGCTGGGCTGTTGTGGGTAGTTGTAAAGTTATCTGGTGTTGTGGCTGTAGTGGGTAGTTGTTCTGTCCTCTGGTGCTGGGCTGTGGTGGGTAATTGTTCTGTCCTCTGGTGCTGGGCTGTGGTGGAGTTGTTCTGTTCTCTGGTACTGTGGTGGGTAGTTGTTCTGTCCTCTGGTGCTGTGGCTGTGGTGGTGGTTGTTCTGTCCTCTGGTGCTGGGCTGTGGTGGGTAGTGGTTCTGTCCTCTGGTGCTGTGGTGGGTAGTTGTTCTGTCTCTGGTGTTGTGGCGGTGGTGGGTAGTTATTCGGTCCTCTGGTGCTGGGCTGTGGTAGTGGTTGTTCTGTCCTCTGGTGCTGTGGATGTGGTGGGTAGTTGTTCTGTCCTCTGGTGCTGGGCTGTGGTGGGTAGTTGTTCTGTCCTCTGGTACTGTGGCTGTGGTGAGTAGTTGTGCTATCCTCTGGTGCTTTAGATGTGGTGGGTAGTTGTTCTGTCCTCTGGTACTGTGGCTGTGGTGAGTAGTTGTTCTGTCCTCTGGTACTATGGCTGTGGTGGGTAGTTGTGCTGTCCTCTGGTGCTGTGGATGTGGTGGGTAGTTGTTCTGTCCTCTGGTACTGTGGTGGGTAGTTGTTCTGTCCTCTGGTATTGTGGTGGGTTGCTCTGTCCTCTGGTACTGTGGTGGTTAGTTGTTCTGTCCTCTGGTGCTGGGCTGTGGTGGGTAATTTTTCTGTCCTCTGGTGCTTGGCTGTAGTGGGTAGTTGTTCTGTCCTCTAGTGCTGGGCTGTGGTGGGTAGTTGTTCTGTCCTCTGGTGCTGTGTGGTGAGTGTGTTCTATCCTCTGGTGCTGGGCTGTGGTGGGTAATTTTGTCTCCTGGTGCTTGGCTGTAGTGGGTAGTTGTTCTGTCCTCTGGTGCTGGGATGTGGTGAGTAGTTGTTCTGTCCTCTGGTGATGTGGCTGTGGTGGGTAGTTGTTCTGTCCTCTGGTGCTGTGGTGGTTAGTTGTTCTGTCCTCTGGTGCTGGGCTGTGGTGGGTAATTTTTCTGTCCTCTGGTGTGGCTGTGGTGGGTAGTTGTTCTGTCCTCTGGTGCTGGGATGTGGTGGGTAATTTTTGTCCTCTGGTACTGTGGCTATGGTGGGTAGTTGCTCTGTCCTCTGGTGCCGTGGCTGTGGTGGGTAGTTGTTCTGTCCTCTTGTGATGTGGCTGTGGTGGTAGTTGTTCTGTCCTCTGGTGCTGTGGCTGTGGTGGGTAGTTGTTCTGTCCTCTGGTACTGTGGTGGATAGTTCTGTCCTCTGGTACTGTGGTGGATAGTTCTGTCCTCTGGTGCTGGGCTGTGGTGGGTAGTTGTTCTATCCTCTGGTGCTGTGGCTGTGGTGGGTAGTTCTGTGCTCTGGTGCTGTGGCTGTGATGGGTCGTTGTTCTGTCCTCTGGTTCTGTGGTGGGTAGTTGTTCTGTCCTCTGGTTCTGTGGTGGGTAGTTGTTGTGTCCTCTGTACTGTGGTGGGTAGTTGTTCTGTCCTCTGGTACTGTGGTGGGTAGTTGCTCTGTCCTCTAGTGCTGGGCTGTGGTGGGTAGTTGTTCTGTCCTCTGGTACTGTGGTGGGTAGTTGTTCTGTCCTCTGGTTCTGTGGTGGGTAGTTGTTGTGTCCTCTGGTTCTGTGGTGGGTAGTTGTTGTGTCCTCTGGTACTGTGGTGGGTAGTTGTTCTGTCCTCTGGTACTGTGGTGGTTAGTTGCTCTGTCCTCTAGTGCTGGGCTGTGGTGGGTAGTTGTTCTGTCTCTCGTACTGTGGTGGATAGTTCTGTCCTCTGGTGCTGGGCTGTGGTGGGTAGTTGTTTTGTCTTCTGGTGCTGCGGTGGTTAGTTGTTCTATCCTCTGGTGCTGTGGCTGTGGTGGGTAGTTGTTCTGTTCTCTGGTGCTGTGGCTGTGGTGGGTAGTTCTGTGCTCTGGTGCTGTGGCTGTGATGGGTCGTTGTTCTGTCCTCTGGTTCTGTGGTGGGTAGTTGTTCTGTCCTCAGGTACTGTGGTGGGTAGTTGTTCTGTCCTCTGGTACTGTGGTGGGTAGTTGCTCTGTCCTCTGGTACTGTGGTGGGTCGTTGTTCTGTCCTCTGGTACTGTGGTGGGTAGTTGCTCTGTCCTCTGGCACTGTGGTGGTTAGTTGCTCTGTCCTCTAGTGCTGGGCTGTGGTGGGTAGTTGTTCTGTCCTCTGGTACTGTGGTGGATAGTTGTTCTGTCCTATGGTACTGTGCTGGATAGTTCTGTCCTCTGGTGCTGGGCTGTGTTGGGTAGTTGTTCTGTCCTCTGGTGCTGTAGCTGTGGTGGGTAGTTGTTCTGTCTTCTGGTGCTGTAGTTGTGGTGGGTAGTTGTTCTGTCCTCTGGCACTGTGGTGGATAGTTGTTCTATCCTCTGGTGCTGTGGCTGGTGTGGTGTATTGTTCTGTCCTCTGGTGCTGGGCTGTGGTGAGTAGTTGTTCTGTCCTCTGGTGCTGTGGCTGTGGTGGGTAGTTGTTCTGTCCTCTGGTGCTGTGGCTGTGGTGGGTAGTTGTTCTGTCCTCTGGTGCTGGGCTGTGGTGGGTAGTTGTTCTGTCCTCTGGTGCTGTGGCTGTGGTGAGTAGTTGTTCTGTCCTCTGGTGCTGGGCTGTGTTGGGTAGTTGTTCTGTCCCCTGGTGCTGTGGCTGTGGTGAGTAGTTGTTCTGTCCCTTGGTGCTGTGGCTGTGGTGGGTAGATGTTCTGTCCTCTGGTGCTGGGCAGTGGTGGGTAATTGTTCTGTCCTCTGGTGCTGTGGATGGGTGGGTAGTTGTAAAGTTATCTGGTGTTGTGGCTGTAGTGGGTAGTTGTTCTGTCTTCTGGTGCTGTAGCTGTGGTGGGTAGTTGTTCTGTCCTCTGGCACTGTGGTGGTTAGTTGTTCTATCCTCTGGTGCTGGGCTGTGGTGAGTAGTTGTACTGTCCTCTGGTGCTGTGGCTGTGGTGGGTAGTTGTTCTGTCCTCTGGTGCTGTGGCTGTGGTGGGTAGTTGTTCTGTCCTCTGGTGCGGGGCTGTGGTGGGTAGATGTTCTATCCTCTGGTGCTGTGGCAGGTGTGGGTAGTTGTTCTGTCCTGGTGCTGGGCTGTGGTGAGTAGTTGTTCTGTCCTCTGGTGCTGGGCAGTGGTGGGTAGTTGTTCTGTCCTCTGGTGCTGTGGCTGTGGTGAGTAGTTGTTCTGTCCTCTGGTGCTGGGCAGTGGTGTAGTTGTTCTGTCTCTAGTGCTGGGCTGTGGTGGGTAGTTGTCCTGTGGCTGTGGTGGTTAGTTGTGATGTCCTTTGTGGCTGTGGTGGGTAGTTGTTCTGTCTTCTGGTGCTGTTGTTGTGGTGGGTAGTTCTGTCCTCTTGTACTGTGGTAGGTAGTTGTTCTGTCCTCTGGTGCTGGGCTGTGGTGGGTAATTGCTCTGTCCTCTGGTGCTGTAGCTGTGGTGGGTAGTTGTGCTGTCCCCTGGCACTGTGGTGGGTAGTTGTTCTGTCCTCTGGTGCTGTAGCTGTGGTGGGGAGTTGTGCTGTCCTCTGGTGCTGGGCTGTGGTGGGATCTGTTCTGTCCTCTGGTACTGTGGTGGGTAGTTGTTCTGTCCTCTGGTGCTGAGCTGTGGTGGGTAGTTGTCCTATCCTTTGGTACTGTGGTGGGTAGTTGTTCTGTCCTCTGGTGCTGTGGTGGGTAGTTGTTCTGTACCTGGTACTGTGGTGGGTAGTTGTTCTGTCCTCTGGTGCTGGGCTGTGATGGGTAGTTGTTCTGTCCTCAGGTGCTGGGCTGTGGTGGGTAGTTGTGCTGTCCTCTGGTGCTGGGCTGTGGTGGGTAGCTGTTCTGTTCTGGTACTGTGGTGGGTAGTTGTTCTGTCCTCTGGTACTAGGGTAGTAGTTGTTCTGTCCTCTGGTACTGTGGTGGGTAGTTGTTCTGTCCTCTGGTGCCGTGGTGGTAGTTGTTCTGCCCTCTGGTGCTGGGCTGTGGTGGGTAGTTGTTCTATCCTCTGGTTCTGGGCTGTGGTAGGTAGTTGTTCTGTCCTCTGGTGCTGTGGTGGGTAGTTGTTCTGTCCTCTGGTACTGTGGTGGTAGTTGTTCTGTCCTCTGGTGCTGGGCTGTGGTGGGTAGTTGTTCTGTCCTCTGGTTCTGGGCTGTAGGTAGTTGTTCTGTCCTCTGGTGCCGTAGTGGGTAGTTGTTCTGTCCTCTGGTACTGTGGTGGTAGTTGTTCTGTCCTCTGGTGCTGGGCTGTGGTGGGGTAGTTGTTCTGTCCTCTGGTTCTGGGCTGTAGGTAGTTTTTCTGTCCTCTGGTGCTGTGGTGGGTAGTTGTTCTGTCCTCTGGTACTGTGGTGGGTAGTTGTGCTGTCTTCTGGTACTGTGGTGGGTAGTTGTTCTGTCCTCTGGTACTGTGGTGGGTAGTTGTTCTGTCCTCTGGTACTGTGGTGGGTAGTTGTGCTGTCTTCTGGTACTGTGGTGGGTAGTTGTTCTGTCCTCTGGTACTGTGGTGGGTAGTTGTTCTGTCCTCTGGTACTAGGGTGGGTAGTTGTTCTGTCCTCTGGTATTGTGGTGGGTAGTTGTTCTGTCCTCTGGTGCTGGGCTGTTGTGGGTAGTTGTAAAGTTATCTGGTGTTGTGGCTGTAGTGGGTAGTTGTTCTGTCCTCTGGTGCTGGGCTGTGGTGGGTAGCTGTTCTGTCCTCTGGTACTGTGGTGGGTAGTTGTTCTGTCCTCTGGTGCCGTGGTGGGTAGTTGTTCTGTCCTCTGGTACTGTGGTGGGTAGTTGTTCTGTCCTCTGGTGCTGCTGTGGTGGGTAGTTGTTCTGTCCTCTGGTTCTGGGCTGTGGTAGGTAGTTGTTCTGTCCTCTGGTGCTGTGGTGGGTAGTTGTTCTGTCCTCTGGTAGTGTGGTGGGTAGTTGTGCTGTCCGCTGGTACTGTGGTGGGTAGTTGTTCTGTCCTCTGGCACTGTGGTGGGTAGTTGTTCTGTCCTCTGGTACTGTGGTGGGTAGTTGTTCTGTCCTCTGGTACTGTGGTAATTGTTCTGTCCTCTGGTGCTGGGCTGTGGTGGGTTGTTGTTCTTTTCTGGTACTGTGGTGGGTAGTTGTTCTGTCCTCTAGTGCCGTGGTGGGTAGTTGTTCTGTCCTCTGGTACTGTGGTGGGTAATTGTTCTGTCCTCTGGTGCTGGGCTGTGGTGGGTTGTTGTTCTTTTCTCTGGTACTGTGGTGGGTAGTTGTTCTGTCCTCTGGTGCCGTGGTGGGTAGTTGTTCTGTCCTCTGGTGCTGTGGTGGTAGTTGTTCTGTCCTCTGGTACTGTGGTGGGTAATTGTTCTGTCCTCTGGTGCTGGGCTGTTGTGGGTAGTTAAAGTTATCTGGTGTTGTGGCTGTAGTGGTAGTTGTTCTGTCCTCTGGTGCTGGGCTGTGGTGGGTAGTTGTTCTGTTCTCTGGTACTGTGGTGGGTAGTTGTTCTGTCCTCTGGTACTAGGGGTGGTAGTTGTTCTGTCCTCTGGTACTGTGGTGGGTAGTTGTTCTGTCCTCTGGTGTGGTGGTAGTTGTTCTGTCCTCTGGTGCTGTGGTGGGTAGTTGTTCTGTCCTCTGGTACTGTGGTGGGTAATTGTTCTGTCCTCTGGTGCTGGGCTGTTGTGGGTAGTTGTAAAATTATCTGGTGTTGTGGCTGTAGTGGGTAGTTGTTCTGTCCTCTGGTGCTGGGCTGTGGTGGGTAGTTGTTCTGTTCTCTGGTACTGTGGTGGGTAGTTGTTCTGTCCTCTGGTACTAGGGTGGGTAGTTGTTCTGTCCTCTGGTACTGTGGTGGGTAGTTGTTCTGTCCTCTGGTGCCGTGGTGGGTAGTTGTTCTGTCCTCTGGTGCTGTGGTGGGTAGTTGTTCTGTCCTCTGGTACTGTGGCGGGTAATTGTTCTGTCCTCTGGTGCTGGGCTGTTGTGGGTAGTTGTAAAGTTATCTGGTGTTGTGGCTGTAGTGGGAGTTGTTCTGTCCTCTGGTGCTGGGCTGTGGTGGGAATTGTTCTGTCCTCTGGTGCTGTGGATGTGGTGGGTAGTTGTTCTGTCCTCTGGTGCTGGGCTGTGGGTAGTGGTTCTGTCCTCTGGTGCTGTGGTGGGTAGTTGTTCTGTCCTCTGGTACTGTGGCGGGTAATTGTTCTGTCCTCTGGTGCTGGGCTGTTGTGGGTAGTTGTAAAGTTATCTGGTGTTGTGGCTGTGGGGTAGTTGTTCTGTCCTCTGGTGCTGGCTGTGGTGGGTAGTTGTTCTGTTCTCTGG